AGTGTCTGTTTATATTTACTATGTCATCTTGTTGCGTGGCATGAGCTCACAAGCCACTCACTCTCCAGCTTTCAGCATTACAGTAAGTGAGTTGGGTTGAACAGCACTTTTAACAGTATTCCAGTTATATCACGGCGTGTCAGCTTAATGTGGGAGGAAAGCCCGAAGTGATGCAGGTCTCAGACATTTACCACTTCGGTAAAACCCACGAGCACGGGTATGGTGCTGACATACCTAGAAACATAATCAAGGCGAACCGGGAATCAAACCCACAATCATAGGTTTCTGGCATGCCCAAGGGATGCAACTCTGCACAGAGAATAGCGGCGCCTTAGACGACTGGCTCACCCGTGCCCCCAAGTGCCCCTGGAAGGGTAATTGGGAATTTTTTTTTATTTTTTCAAAATTGACTGGTTTTAATGTTGTTGTTATTATTATTACAGCTAAATTCCTTCATCTTGTGGGTCTATGTGCTGGTGCTTGTGTGGTCGAATTGTCTCCCGCCACGATCCACTCTTGGTCTGATCTAGAAGTGTCTGTCTATATTTACTATGTCATATTGTTGTGTGGCATGAGCTCACAAGCCACTCACTCTCCAGCTTTCAGCATTACAGTAAGTGAGTTTGGTTTAACAGCCCTTTTAACAGTATTCCAGTTATATCGCAGTGTGTCAGCTTAATGTGGTAGGAAAGCCCAAAGTGATGCAGGTCTCAGACATTTACCACTTCGGTAAAACCCACGAGCACGGGTATGGTGCTGACATACCTAGAAACATAATCGGGGCGAACCGGGATTCAAACCCACAATCATAGGTTTCTGGCATGCCCAAGGGAGGCAACTCTGCACAGCGAATCGTGGCACTTTAGACGACTGGGCCACCCCTTTCAGTATTTCAACACCTGCTATACTCTTGCATTCATCTGCTGTTCATTGCAAGGTGGCCTACAGTTTTTTATATAAAGCCAACCAAAAGACGGCTGCCGTGAATCACCTCCTCGCCAGGATTTGGAAGATTCCCAGGACGGCGCCAACGGTCCAACTATTGACATCGGCGACCAGTAAGTCATTGAGATCAGCTAGACCTCATTGAACTGACCCCATTGCCAAACATGCAAATATCAGCTCCTATGCTTCTTCAAGTAGGTAATGCAGATAATACAAACGTTTTGCCGCGAGTTGGCACCGAAGCCAACATCGAAGAGCCCCAACACGTAATGGCGACTGTTCCGTCGATGCTAACAATATCTAGCCAACTCAGCAACATCCTGGATATTCTGGGCAAGACAATGGCCCAAGATCCCTCTCAGAACTTTACGGGCATGCTTGGGGTAAGTACATTTAATTTGGGGGAACGGTGTCAGTGGTGGCAAGAAATCCTGGCATGTTTCTTTGCAACCTCTTTTGCAGGGCAGTGGTTGCGGCATTGGTGTTCACTTAACAGGAGTCAAGCTCTTTTCTGCAACTTCTTTGAGTGGCATTTAGAAGTTGGTGTGATGAAGTAAGACGAGTTCTATGGATGAACAACTTCTTTATTACAATTAGTGCGACGTTTCGGTGTAGATCTTAACACCTTTATCAAGCAAGTGATGGATAGTGCTAAACAACATAGGTATATATACTTATTGACATCTAAGTTTATACAGTGACTAATTGATGGATACAGAGAGCTGATTAAGATAATTGGAGTGAGTGAGTGAGCGAGGTTTTACGCCGCTTTTAGCAATATTCCAGCAATATCACGGCAGGGGACACCAGAAATGGGCTTCACACATTGTACCCATGTCGGGAATCGAACCCGGGTCTTCGGCATGACGAGCGAACGCTTTAACCACTAGGCTACCCGACCGCCCCAAGATAATTGGAAGCCAGTGGAAGACTAATGAACACAGAGTAAACAAGCACACTGATAGAGATGATGGAAGCCACTGGATTAATTGGATGGACAAAGGGATTTAGCAATTAGGTGATGGTTAGCAGGCGGGATGTAATAGCCTTGGTCTCTGTTCATTGCTGGCTGGATCCTTTTGATGTAGATGGCTTCTAGGAGTTTCCTGATTTTGTAGTCTGATTGGTTGTTGGCTAGGATCTTGATGTTGTTCTCTTTTTTGCAGTCCACCAGTACCTCCACATACACAATTCCATCCAAATAACATCTCACCTTAATTTCAAGCTCCTCTATAAAACAGGATAGCCGAGCTTGGCCTAATGGGGTCATGTCCTTACATAATACAAACCATTAAAATCTCTTTTCACATTTATTGGTCTTGTCCTAGGTGAATAAAGGTTACTTCTACAAAGCTGTGATATTGCTTAGTATTTTTTATACATATTAAAACATTGAACTGGGGAATTATCAGTTCCAAATTGGGAAGTCTTACTGACATATGCTGCAGTTTTGGGTCTGAATATTGGTGTAATCCCTGTATTGATAATAATAATTTGTGCATGTAGTATATAGAGGATTCATCACGAGTGTTTTTTTAATATGCGAAATATCAACCGAGTCTTAGTTAATCAGTATTTGCCGAGCCTTTGGCGAGGCAAATACCGATTAACGGGACGAGGTTGATATTTCCCATATTAAAAACACAAGTGATGAATTCTATTTATAATTTTCACATTTTTGCTTCCAAATTAAGGAATAATTGCATTAAACATTAACATCAGCAACTTGTCGAAATCTTACGTATAGATCGTGCGTAGTGATACATGTTTTCCATAGCCATGTAAACCAAAATAAACAATTCGCTGAGAAAAAAAGTTCCTCGGATTATTTTAAACAAAATACTTGAACAGACTTTTGCAGAATAATTGAAACTTTAATAACGGTAACAACAACGATTCTGTGTAATCTGATTATATCTCTGGTGTAACTTCACTTATAATATATAGTTTCAAATCAAACCGCTCGCTCTTCCGGTTATCTAATTTGCATATCTAATTTGCATACTTATGTCATTGGGGTATGACATACATGTTTTTATGTCATAAGCTTATGTCATGGATAAATGCTTAAGTTAAATGATAAATGTATTTATTAATATGTGTGAGTTTAGGCATGTGAACAGGGCTTTTGTTCTTTTCAATATTCTAGTCCAGCTTAATATTTGTCTGATGGTTGTGGTCATCAGTTTAGGTAGATTCTAATTGATGAGGCATTCTTCCATCTGATAGTCCTGACTGGAATATAAATCTTTTAGGTTTTGGGGTTTTTTTTACTAAAAGCCTAGGCAAGTCTAGATGAAAATTTTTACTAACAAAGTCTAGTTTGCTTGATGAAAACAGCAGAGGAAAGGTTCTTTCGCAGAAAAAAAAAAATCTTTTAAAGACATGGTTTCATCGACTAAGTGTTAGTCTATCCATCTGGTTGTCCCCTCCTTAACTGCTGCATATGAAGCACCTATTTGTTGGGGGGGGGTTTCTTTACATTTTTATTGCACCTGTTGGTTGCAAAGTAAAACACATGTACCATATCTGAGTGAGTAAGTGAGTTGTATTTATCTCCACCTTGTTTGTTTGTTTGTTGTTTAACGCAGCACTCAGCAATATGCCAACTATGTGATGGCAGTCTGAAAATAATTGAGTCTGGACCAGACAATCCAGTGATTTACATCATAAGCATCAATTACAATTGGGATACGATGACATGCATCAACCAAGTCACCAAGCCTGACCACCTGATCCCGTGTGTCGCCTCTTATGACAGTCGCCTCTTATGGCAAGCATGGGTTGCTGAAAACCTATTTCTAGTATACCCAGATCTTAACGGTTCTATCTCCACCCATCTTCCCGAGGCAAGTGAGTTAACTGACTATATAAAAGTCCAATTTCCACCGTTGCCAAACTAGGCTGGTATTATGGAGTTAGAATTTGGCTGGACTAACTAGTCTATGCATAGTCCAATCAAAATCGCGCATCGAAATCCGGTTCGCAAAGTGTCATGCAGATTTCGGTCGACTGCAGGATTTGCAAAGCATGTGCACCGCTAACTCGTTGTCAACAGATATTTTCTAAATATTTTCATGTTTTTAATCAAGGTGCTCACGTGATTTGATGCACTTCGCGATGTAAGACTCGTTTTATCACAATATAGATCTTGATTTTCGATCAGATCGTCTTGACAGGGCGCCACTGTTTTGTTTGAAGCAAAGATCTACGTACATTACCATATTCAAAGTAATAAGCACCCTGCTCTAATAAGCGCCCACGGCGATATTTGCCAATATATTGGCTAGTGAACAATTCCAGTTCCTTCCGATTGATCAATGTACACAAGATTTATTTACTCGTGTATAATACACACTCGTGTGTTATATGCACCCTTAATTATGGGCAATTAAATTCTGGAAAAATATATCTGTGTTGTATAATACACACAGACTTTTCTTTTGTATCATTTCAAGCTGTCAGCATAAACCACGAAATTTACGATCTTTCAACTCTGTTTTTTTTCACCAAAATTTTATTCTAATAAGAGCCACGTATTTCTAATTTTGAGAGCGCCCTGGGCACTTATTATGTCTAATACGGTATATCATTGTTTTGATTTGGTACAATTAGAAATTCGGTTAGAACTTTTGGGAAACTGATTATAATAAATGAAACTGAAAAAATTACCTACTTATAATTACATTTGTTTGTAATCAGAAACAAATTTTTTAAGTGGCCTTATCTGAACTAGCCTAGTAGTGATTATTAACAGTGCAAACGTTTATCATGCATCACCGCAACAGAGACTGTGTATATATATCTCATATCTACATCTGAAGGTACTACATTACATAACAGCACTCTCGTGCTTGCGTGGGTAAGCAAGGAAACAATGTGTATTTTTATCGTAGTAGCTGACCCTTGCGTGACCTGATTTGGGATCTAGAATTAGGTCACGCCCAGCTGGTGTGCCCGACCCTCGAGGACCCCGCAACGACCCCGCAACGTTCTACGTCTCCATCATGACAGAAACACCAATACTCCATATCGCAAATGCATGTCTTAATTACCTTGGGTGGCCGTCCGTTCTCTGAAGTGGCTCCAAGTTGATAACTTCGTCGGTATCATTGACAACCACTCGGCAGTTGCTCTCTGGTATCAGAGCCAGGTCCATGGAACCTCCCTTAGCTTTCGTTGACAATGACACTGGACACTTGTACATGGCCAGTGTGAAGAGGAAGAGATAGAACTTCGCCATCATATATGGGTATCCGACATGTGTTTTGTCCCTGCGGTACACTCAAGAAACAACACTGGACTGAGAATCGCTACAAATGACAGCTAATATCGCTTTCCGACCGCGCCGTCTCATTGGTCGGCTGTCCCGTTGTATGAAAACACCGCGGGGACATCAGTACTGTGGGGTTATCACATTCCGCTACGGCGAGATTGCACGAGCAAGTGGTTGAGGAAAGAGGCACAGATTTGTCTTATTGCGTATTGTACGTTTGAATACATGGCGTTTTATGAAATGTGACTTATAGTGGTATTATAAAGTTGTTTAGGTTTAATTTTAACGGTAATATAATAACATGGGTTTATCGTATATTTTAACATAGGTTTATCGTATATTTTAACATAGGTTTATCGTATATTTTAACATAAGGTTTAGCGTATATTTTAACATAGTTTAGCGTATATTTTAACATAGGTTTATCGTATATTTTAACATAAGGTTTAGCGTATATTTTAACATAGGTTTAGCGTATATTTTAACATAAGGTTTAGCGTATATTTTAACATAGGTTTATCGTATATTTTAACATAAGGTTTAGCAATATTTTAACATAGGTTTAGCGTATATTTTAACATAGGTTTAGCGTATATTTTAACATAGGTTTAGCGTATATTTTAACATAGGTTTAGCGTATATTTTAACATAAGGTTTAGCAATATTTTAACATAGGTTTATCGTATATTTTAACATAGGTTTAGCGTATATTTTAACATAGGTTTATCGTATATTTTAACATAGGTTTAGCGTATATTTTAACATAGGTTTAGCGTATATTTTAACATAGGTCTATCGTATATTTTAACATAAGTTTAGCGTATATTTTAACATAGGTTTATCGTATATTTTAACATAGGTTTAGCGTATATTTTACGACCCGTGAAGATCCGGAGTAGAACATAGATTTAGGTCTTCAGCAACCCATGCTTGCCGTAAAAGGCGACTATGCTTGTCGTAAGAGGCGACTAACGGGATCGGGTGGTCAGGCTCGCTGACTTGGTTGATGCATGTCATCGATCCCAATTGCGTCGATTAATTAGGGCTGGGACGGGTAACTCGGGTACCCGGGTCGGGTTGGTACTGAGTAGGATCCGGGTACCCACAGGTCTACCCGGACCCTTGGTTAGTCACGTGATATATTGTTTGATGACAAAAGTTATCTAGAACTCTATGGTTACACTACAAGTCACTAATGTTCGCATTTCTTTCTGACTATGCACCCATTCCTTCTGACTTTTCATATGGTTGAATAAAGATATAACTAAATTCAACTTCAGTGTATGAATGACCAGATTGTATACTAATAATAATACAAAGAGAATCTCACCCGAGTGTCTTTTGATATCAAATATATCAACGAGTGTTGATATATTTGATATCAAAAGACACAAGGGTGAGATTTTATTTATCATCCAACATCATTCATCAAACTTTTTCAGTTTGTAGACAGTAATAAGCAGTGTCTTAAGTGTAAAAAGTACTGCTAACAGCTTCAGTAGCAGAGCCATTAGTGATGTCATTTGATTGGGACGTCATGGTAACCAATGACGTCACAATGGTCTGCAAAGCACTGTGATACAATTTCATTGCAGCGATATCTACAGAGTAGATATCGCTTGATCTCACCCTAGCGATATCTCCCGTGAGAGCCAGTTTTGGATGATAAATGTACATGTATCTAAATACGTTTTGCCAGGGCTATCCTAAAAATGTTCCCATTCGGACATTTTGAGACATCTCCTGAGACCTACAGTGGGTACCCGGGTAGGATCGGGTAATAGGGTGGGTGGGTACCCGGGTAGTAAATTTTTACTCGTCCCAGCCCTAGCGTGGATCGATGCTCATGATGTCAATCACTGGATCGTCTAGTCCAGACTCGATTATTTACAGACCGCCGTCATATATCTGGATTATTGCTGAGTGCGGCGTTAAACAACAAACAAACAAATAAAACATATATTTTACTGATTGTTAATTCCATCCGAAACAGAAAGTCCATATGCCCATAAACGATTACCTTTCTACATATAACTGGACTTATGTTGAGTGCGATCTTAATAAATAACCAAACAAACAAACTTTATCCCCCCGTTTACTGAAACATTCAAAATGAATTGGTGTTAAATTGCGATGAAAGTGCTTTAATAAATTCACATTTTTGTTTCGTTCCTCTCTGATGCGTACAGCATTTCAGGGATTTTGGTAAATTATTTAGGATTCACTTTCTCTTTGACCTTTAATACGCAATAAAACGGCCACTAGCTATTGATGTCTGTCTTGAAAGATCGAATACAGGTATAGAAGAACGACATTAATCTGCCGTGGTCTGACACGACGTGGTTTATTGTGTACACAAAGCCACGCGGTGCATCTCAGCATCTTGATTTATTTCAGTTATCAACAAATTTATGTGGGTACATTTACCCTTTCTCTTGAGTTTATATCTGATTTGCATCGAAGCGAAATTGCAATGTCAGTTGGCATTTGTAAGTTCAAACCTATTCTATTGAAACACGCCTATTAATGTGCACATTTATAACGGCATTAACAGCGAACTGTCCACGGAAAGAGGTCATGGAACGTGACAAGCAGTAATCCAGAAAGTCGTGAATCAAATCATTAAAACCACCAGAAGAATTATATTATGTGTTTCCTCGCGGAGATTTTACGACTTTGAGTCCATATGCATTTTTATCATAAATGTTTGTGAGACGTTTGAAAAAACGTGTCGCTACATTTGGCCCAAATATAGTCCACGTTGTTGCTACATATGGCCCAAATACAGTCGATGTTGTCGCTACATTTGGACCAAATATAGTCGATGTTGTCTCTACACCGGGCCCAAATATAGTCGATGTTGTCTCTACACCGGGCCCAAATATAGTCGATGTTGTCTCTAAACCGGGCCAAAATATAATCGATGTTGTCTCTACACCGGGCCCAAATATAGTCCATGTTGTCTCTACACCGGGCCCAAATATAGTCCATGTTGTCTCTACACCGGGCCCAAATATAGTCCATGTTGTCGCTACAATTGGCCCAAATATAGTCGATGTTGTCGCTACACTTAGATAGTTTCCATTATTTGGTTTAAACATTGATTTGTGACGTTTTGAGGAACAGTTTCATGTGTGGGGGACAAAACGACAGGCTAGATCGCATCGATTGATGACCGCATGTCACAAGTGTATGGGGATAGGTGCCCTAGCTATTCCACTGTTAAACGTTAGGCAGCTATGTTTAAGGCTGGGAGAACAAGCCTTGATGATGACCCTAGGTCTGGACGTCCCTCAACTTCCATCAATGAAAAGATTCAATCAAGGCGTCAGAAAAACTTATACTGTCAGATAAACGTATTACCAATCCTGATCTTGAGGAAGACACAGACCTAAGCTATGGGTCCATTGAAACTATTATTCATGAATATTTACGAATTTACAAGATATCTGTTCGTTGGGTGCCAACGTTTCTAATTTCTGATCTTGAGGAGGATTTCGTCAAATTCAAAAAGAGTTTAGTAACGTGTGATGAAACATGGGTCTACCACTATATGATCCCGAATCAAAAAGTCAATCCATCGAATGGCACCATTCCACTTCTCCGGCGCCAAAGAAATTCAAGTCTTCAAGATCAGTGAAGAACCTTATGGCCACTGTATTCTGGGATGCAAAGGGTGTGATCCTTGTTAATTACTTAGAACGTCAAAAGTGCCTACTTTGCTGATTTGTTTCATCGCCTGAGATATTTTATCAAAGAAAAGCGGCGAGGAATGCTGACTGCTGGAGTTCTACTACTTCATAACAATGCCTCTTCTCACACCAAGGCTACTGTGCTACAATGTGGGTTCGAGCAGCTTCTTCACCCTCCATACTCGCCAGACCTGGCACCAAGTGATTTCTACCCGTTTCCTAAACTGAAAGAACACCTTCGTGGAAAGCACTATGACGACAACGATGACCTCAAATCTGCCGTGAATAGGTTTTTCAGGGTGGCTTCAGAAAACTTCTTCCTGACTGGATTGAAAAGTTTCACTATCGATATGAGAAGTGCATTGAAAAACAGGGAGATTATGTTGAAAAATAAAATTACAAACATTTTCTAAATTGTTGGTTTTGTTTGTTAGTATCAGAAAATTTTGGCCAGCTCTCTTACGATGACATGGAAGTCACCTGGAACCTGATTAATCGTCTATGCTCTCTCCGATCCATCGCGATTCCGTAGTTCCCCAGTATCCCATGCTTGTCTTCATGTAGGGATTCCAGGCAGAATAGGTCCCCTGTATTCCAAGGGGCGGTCGGGTAGCCTAGTGGTTAAAGCGTTCGCTCGTCACGCCGAAGACCCGGGTTCGATTCCCGACATGGGTACAATGTGTGAAGCCCATTTCTGGTGTCCCCCGCCGTGATATTGCTGGAATATTGCTAAAAGCGGCGTAAAACCATACTCACTCACTCACTCACTCCCCTGTATTCCATGCGTGTCTTCATGTAGGGATTCCAGGCAGAATAGGCCCCCAGTATACCATGCGTGTCTTCATGTCGGAATTAGCACAGAATAGGTCCACAGTATCCCATGCTTGTCTTCAGGTAGGGATTCGGACAGAATAGATCTCCAGTATCCCATGCTTGTCTTTATGTAGGGATTCCAGGCAGAATAGGTCCCAAGTATCCCATGCTTGTCTTCATGAAGGGATTCGGACAGAATAGGCCCCCAGTACCCAATGCTTGTCTTCATGTAGGGATTCGGACAGAATAGGCCCCCAGTACCCCATGCTTGTCTTCATGTAGGGATTCGGACAGAATAGGCCCCCAGTATCCCATGCTTGTCTTCATGTAGGGATTCCAGGCAGAATAGGTCCCTAGGATCCAATGTTTGTCTTCGTGTAGGGATTCGGACAGAATAAGTCCCCAGTATCCCATGCTTGTCTTCAGGTATGGATTCGGACAGAATAGGTCCCCAGTATCCCATGCTTGTCTTCATGTAGGGATTAGCACAGAATAGGTCCCCAGTATCCCATGCTTGTCTTCATGTAGGGATTCAGACAGAATAGTTCCCCAGTATCCCATGCTTGTCT